TGTGCTCAGATTTGCTTTTTCATCCTTAAGGGTGACAAATGGTGATAGCTTCAGGGGGTTCTACTAGTCTCACTCAAGCTGTTTGCCTGGTCTTTTTTTTTTTTTTTTTTTGTAATGTTTTTATTGTAAATTGGGTGATAGTTTACATGGGAGAATGTCAGCTGTACATTCATCCTATTATATTTAGTTTCGTTGCAATGATTACAATCGCCTCCATGAATTATCATTCAACAGTATGTGCTTCCATTCTCTTGTGTGTTTTTTTCTCTTTTTTTTTTGATGTACACTAAAGCATTCAGGAATATACAACCATTTAACAACCAAAGGGCAATCGCCGCAAGCCTGTCCTCCCCCGCCCCGCAGGCGTCAGCACACAGCCCCTCTCCCTTCCTAAGTCCAGGGTCCCCAGCCAGTCCATCTCTCCATGTCTCTGCCTCCATCTCTGATGTTACTGCTTCTCTGGATAGGGTCCCGCACTCTGCTCTTCTCCCTCGATGGTCCCAGGGTCCTCCACTCCTGGACTGTAAGATCAACCACTCCCCTCCTTTTCTTACAAAATGTCTACCTTTACATTTCCAACCCTCACAGTCAGTCCTGATAGCTGTTATTCACTATTGAACCACAAGAGCCTTATCCCCATCTCCTTTCACCAGCCCCATCCAGACAGGTTGGAAACCACTCAGTGGAGATTCTACCATCCCCCATACCCTCTGAAACTAAAGCATGGTCTTTTTTATGATGTTGAGTTTTGTTCCAGATTTTTTCTTCCTCTCAGTTCCGAATCTTCTAATATGATCCTTTTCAGAGCAGTTGGTAGTGGTAGTTGGTAGTTCTTCTTGTCTCCGGGTCATGGACACTCATGTTTGTGTGGTCCTTTAATCCACTGGACTGCTTGTTTCCATGTGTCTTCGATTCTCTCCACTGTTCTTGCTCCTTAGATGGATGTTCATGAGCTTTTAAAGGCCCAGTTGCTCCTCTCCACTGTAAGCTTTAGAACATTGTCTTTCTGGACTTTGTTATGCCAGTTGGCCTTGAGATCCTTGGCCCATGGTCCTGTGTGCACTTGCTTTCACACAAGTATATAGTGCAAACTTCAAACCTTATCAAATGATAGATTTTAAATATGTGAAGTTTAGTGTTTATCAATTATACCTCAAAGATGTAATAAAAAAAAAAAATGTAAAAAGAAATTGAGGTTAGACATGGGAAAAGACTTCCTGATAACAGGATTCTTCTAAATGTGAGGTCTAGAAAGGTGTCTTTGAATGACGTAGAAATTGGTCAGTCTTAATCTGTAAACCCACTTGGAATGTACTATGAAATCAGTAGTAATTATTATTAATTTGGAAAGTCTGCCTGGTTCAAATGGTTAAGCACTGGACTACTAGCTGAAGGGTTGGTGGTTCGAACCCATCCAGAGGCGTCTCAGAAAACAGGTTTAGTGATCTGCTATGAAAAGTTCACAGCCTTGACAACTGTGAAACACTGACCTAAATGAGGTCTCCGTAGTTAGAATCAACTCAACAACCATAACGTTATTCATTCTAAGGCATGGGTAGAATATATAGCTGAAATATCACTCAAAATAATAAAAAAATAAATAAAGGAAACACTCAGAAGTATGACTGTATTAAGAAATTATATATTCAGTGTGGCTTTAATTATAAGGAAATGGACAACCCAGTGTAACTGGAAATGCAGAGTTAGGCAAGTTTTCCAAGGTGAGACCAGTGACTCATTGATGCCAACCCTGACCCAGGCTCTTCTCTCTTTGCCATCATCAGTATTGACTGCATTCTAAGTTCCCTTCTGTGTTGAAACCGAATTGCTTATAGCAGTTAAAACCACTTGCTCTAGTTCAGCTGAAGATATCTGTAGAAATTCAGCCTAGAATATAATTCCTTCTCTTCAGTCTGAATAAGATCGTGTAGGTCATGTCCTCACCATGGATCATTGTGCTGTAGGTGATGGGCTGGAGACACAGAGCAGAATTACGGTTCTGTTAGGAAGATGGGAAGCAGATGTTAGGTGGGCAGCCAATTGTGTCCACTACCTGTGCATGTACAGAGTTGTTATATTTCATATATAAAAATTCCTGGTTGTTTAGCAGTTTTTCCATGTAGAGTTCAAAACAGGTGGTCAGAGTAGGCTTTTTGAAGAAACACAGGTGGTTTTATTAAAAACTGTTTGTCTTCTTAACAGAGATTCTGGAGATGTTGCAGCTCTGAGAGGGTGAGTTCGGCCTCGAGGCTTGCTTTTGTTCTGCTTAATCCAACTTTAGCCTCTGGCCATCGAGTCACCTACGTTTTTTGGTTGTTCTCCTGTGATTCAGATCCCGGAAATTTAACATTCTGGGCACCAACACGAAAGTGATGAACATGGAAGAATCCAACAATGGCAGCCTCTCTGCAGAATTCAAGCACTTGGTAGGTGGGAGAAGCCCCACACCGTTCCTCACAGGGCACCTGGCAGTGGGAGAGGTTAGGAGAGAGAGAGCCTTTACTGACAGATGTGCCTTTCACTTTTCTTGCAGACCCTGAGGGAGCAAAGATGTGGCAATGGGGGCCGAGCAAATTGTGATGTAAGTTTGGTTGGGGATGACAGCTATCTGGGAGGGTTTCCCTTGAGGGTTTTCTCTGGAATGGGCAGGTGGGACCCATTTAGAGAAAAGGCACCAGCCGCCCCTCCTGCCCAGTCAGAACGGAATAGTCCCTTTCCTCAGCGCCTCAGAATTAGGGACGTCACTGTAATGATTCAGAAAAGTGACTGTGGGCCAGGTGACACGATCAGAAGTCACATTTCCCACTGGATTCTCTCTGGCTGGCAGCGTTGCCTGGCCTGCCTGGCAGAGAAGTGGAAAGCCCCTTGCTGGGGAGTTAGTTAGCCACACCCTTGCCACCTGGCTGGGGCTTTCCAGATTTTTCTTCCACAACTTCTGCCAGCCAAGGACACCGATGTTTTCCCCACTGAAGTGGGATAAAGAGTGTGAAAGGTAACCAGTTGGAGTTAAACATTAAAAGAATAAAGGAACAAAACCTTCCTTGCTCTTTATACCCCTTGTTTTCTCTATGTCTCTCATTGGTTCAGGTATTGGGTATCAGGAAAAAAGTTATTTATTTAGGCAAATGTGAGCAAAACCTAGTTTTTAATCTTTTTTTTTTTTTTAATGATGACACCTTGTTCTTTTTTTTCTGATGTTGCTGTACTTCTGTCTCTTGAGCCAACTTGGCTCTCCTTTAATGTGTATAGGGAGTTGTGGTGTGGTGCTACTGGATAATGCTCTGGACCGCAAGGTCAGTTTGAGCTGCAAGATCGGTGGTTCAGACCCACCAGCTGCTTCTCAGAAACCCTATACAGGCTCGCTATAAGTCAGAATCCACTTTACGGCACTTAACAACAATGTGTATAAGTCCTTAAAAAGAGAATAGGGAACTGAACTGGAACAATGTAATACTTGACAGCAATTAGAGAGTGAGGTAGCCTGTATACATCGATATTAACAAAAATATATGTGGCAGATATGTTTAGAAAAAGCAAGTTACAAAAGAATTTGAGTCAGATGTTAGTATTTTTGTTTTAAAAAGATACTTCAAATTGTTTTTATGTTTATTCGTTTATGTATGAAAAATTCTGAAGAAACATACACCAGCCAAACATTAATGCTGTTTTTAGTCTCTGAGGCGCCTCTAAACGATCTCTAATATTTGCATTTTGAATTGAGTAGGTATTATTTTTATAATCAGAAAAGGAATGCATTTAAAATGATTTGGAATTCTGTTCCTGAGAATCCATTGGTAATTCCCGTTCACAGTAAAATGGCTGTGGTGTTGAGAATTTGGTATTGTCAAATGAACAGATTCTACAAGCCAACAGTGTTCCTCTTAGGACTTTGCACTACACAGAGGAACCCTGTACAACATGTTTACAGCAGCCTGTTTGTAAACCCTAAATGCAGTCACATTCATACCCATCAACACTAAGGTAGATAAGTGATTGGGAAGGTGTCGTGTGGCGGAATACTCTACAGCTGTGAACAGAATAAACTATGGATGCCCACAACTATGGATGGATTTCACGCTAAGTGAAAGATAAGTCACCAAAGAATACAGAGTCTGATTCTATACATACAAGGTTCACAAACATTTTAAGGGAAAAATACATAATGCTGTTTGAAGATAGAAATGTGGTAAAACTATAAAGAAAAGCTAAGATATGACAAACCCAAAGGTTGAAATGGGGGTTACTGATGAAGGAGGAGGAGGGAGGAGAGGATTAGGAAAGGACACAGAGAGTCTCATTGGTTTTTTTTCTTAAATGGGGTGGGGGATACCCAGCTGTTCATTGTTTTGTTCCTGTATGAGTAATCTATTGGCTCTGTTAGTACTTTAATAGAGAATGAATAGAAGATTAGGTTGGGGATCATAGCCTTGACTAGTGTTAGTGTTGAGCAGATCAGGTGCTCTGAGCGGTGTGGGCAGTTTCTGTGGTAGTCACACATGGATTTCCTTCTTGGTATGGCAAGGCTGTGGCACGTCGCTTTCCTAGGCTGCTTTAGTACCAAATGCTCCTCTCTGAGTTCCAGAGTGTCCTTTTCGTTACCATAGGCCTCCCTGATTGTGACCGAGGAGCTGCATCTGATAACCTTTGAGACTGAGGTGTATCACCAAGGCCTCAAGATTGACCTGGAGGTGAGTTCTGCAGCAGCACAGGGGGGAGTGGGGAGGCATGGCAATGCGCAGGGGTGATTCTGGACAAGAAATTTGAGTTGGAATTGTTACTACGGAAAGTGGAGTGACTACTGTTTGCTAAGTATTGTGATTTTGGGCGGACCCTTTCTCCAAAGTACCCTTGGCACCTCAGCAGAGAATTAAGTCTTCCTTGAGTGCTTAGAGGTACATTACATGTACATTCAACTTTATACAAACTTGAATGAAATCTGTATTTAGAAATTGATTAGGGTTGACTCAAGTAAACAGGAGTCCAGTTGTGGCGCTGTGGGTTAATGTGCTGAACTGCAAAGTTGGTTTGAACCACAAGGTCGGCGGTTCAAGCCCACTAGCTGCTCCTTAGAAACCCTCTGCAAGGTGGCTATGGGTTGGAGCCAACTCTACGGCACTTAACAACAACAATCAAGTAAACAGCATGTGTTCTTAGTATACAGAAGACTCAATGGCACTTAACTCATTTTTCAACTTTTTAAAGATAGACCTGAAAAAGCAGGTCCACTACTCTGATTTCTGGGTGCTCTCTGTTTAAGGGAAAGGTAGAACTTCAATTCTTGGAAGTGGTCTTTTGGGTTTTATAAATGAGAATCCTGTGGACTGTGGACCAAGCTTTAAGTGAGTCAGAGTTTACAAGTGAATGATTGCATTTGGACATTAGCCCACTCTGAGCAGTCACCTCCTCTCCTAGTGCCACAGTCCCCTGTGTGTAGGCCTGTCCTCGTGGTCTCCTGTGACATATGGAGATTTGGGATGCTGTGGGGACCCCTCTGTCTCCGTACCTCATTCTCCACTTAACTCCATAGACCCACTCCCTGCCTGTTGTGGTGATCTCCAATATTTGTCAGATGCCAAATGCCTGGGCTTCCATCCTGTGGTATAACATGCTCACCAACAACCCCAAGGTTAGTGTCCCATCCTCTTGCCTCAAAGTGGTTGTAGTACCTTGAGTGGGTCGTTAAGTACCACCCCTCAACGTAATTAGCAATTGTGTTTTTCTTTTTTCGTAGAACGTGAACTTCTTCACCAAACCCCCGATTGGAACCTGGGATCAAGTAGCCGAGGTGCTGAGCTGGCAGTTCTCCTCCACCACAAAGAGAGGGCTGAGCATTGAACAGTTGACAACGCTGGCAGAGAAACTCTTGGGTCAGCATTTCCCTCTTCTCCCTCTTGTCTTTCTCAGAGAAGGAACCAGGCCCATGGGACTGTTCATCCAGGAAATATCTACTGAGCACCTGCCTTGAACAAGGAAGTGTGCATCCTTTATATGAGATGGGAGGCAGACTGCTTGTCTTCCTCACCCTTCTAGAGTACTGCTTTGTCTAAACTTTAGGGGGGTTGTTTTAAGTGCATGTTAGAAGTCAAAGCTAAAGGCTTGACATTCTCCTTCTGCGTCTTCAGTATGTTGTGGTGGTGGAGATGGTGGTGGTGGTGTGCCAAGGAGTCGGTTCTGACTTCATCTTTCTCCTGCGGAACGGCTGGTAGTTTTGAACTGCTGACCTTGAGGTTAACAGCTCATCTTGTAACCACTACAATACCAGGCTTATTTTAAAATACCTTTCCAGGAAAAAAAAACAAAAATTTTAGTAAAATATTCTTTGTGCTACCCGAACTATAAGGAGCGCTGGTGGTGTGGTGGGTTATGCATTGAGGTACTAACCAAAAAGTCGGTAATTGAAATCCACCAGCCACTCCATGGGAGAAAGATGAGCCTTTCTGCTCCCGTGAAGATTTCCAAGGATATCAGCCTTGGAAACCCTGTATAGGGCAGCTGTGAGTTAGAACTGAGTTGGTGGCCACCATCACCCACACCCCCCACCTGAACTGCAACTAGCTAGGTCATGTGCTGCCACCAGATCTAACTGTCAAATCGCAGCTGTTGGCTTTAGTGGTGCAGCTGGTTCCAAGACCACCACACAAGGCTAGAAGGAGCAGAGGAATTTGACGTGTCCTTCACCATGTGTATTGGGCAGAACAACAACTCAAGAGGAACCTAACGATGGAGATGGGGAGTACGAATGTGTGTGCGCGTGCGTGCGTGCGCATGCTTAGTAGTAACAACCCTCGACTACGTGAACACCAGTGACTTACATGGCCCGAAGTGGGACAGATGTATGTGTGTGTTCTAAGAAGATCTTGACTCAAAAGTATGGTGACTCCATATGTTAAGAACTGGAATATGAATCACAAAGTTGGAGGTTCAAGCCCATCAGCTGCTCTGCAAGAGAAAGATGAGGCTTTCTGCTCCACAAAGATTTAAAAGACTTGGAAACCCCTATACAGAGTCACTATGAGTCAGAACGGACTCAACAGTACTTAACAACAACAACCTTTTCCTGCTCCCCCCCTTTAGGACCTGGTGTGAACTACTCTGGTTGTCAGATCACTTGGGCTAAATTTTGCAAAGTAAGTAATTTTATTAAATCCATTAAGTTTTGGGAGGGGACGGAGTGCTCACTTGTTAGTTTACTGTTGGGGGACACTAGTCTGAAGGCCCTGAATTCTTAGTCCATGCTGGGTAAGTGAGTACTTTGTGTCCGTGGGAAGGAAAAGGCTGGGAGACGTGGTGGTAGTCTTGGCTTTCCCATGATTCATTTTCCAGGAAAACATGGCAGGCAAGGGCTTCTCCTTCTGGGTCTGGCTGGACAATATCATCGACCTTGTGAAAAAGTACATCCTGGCCCTTTGGAATGAAGGGTAGGTTGAAAATTTTCTGTGTAGTCAAGCGTGCTTTTTTTTTTTTTTTTATGTTTTATTATGAATTATGTGATAGTTTACATGAGAGAACATTAGCTTTACATTCATCCTATAATATATCGTTTCATTGTCATAGTTACAGTCCCCTCCATGCATCATCAACCAACCAAAGGGTATATACCCTGCAAGCCTGCCCCCTGGTTGTCAGCACACAGTCCTTCTCCCTCTCTGGGTTCAAGAGTGCTTTTGAAAGATCTCTTGTGATACAATAGTGAATAATTGTTATCAGGACTGATTGTGAAGGTTGGAAATGTAAAGGTAGACATTTTGTAGCAAAGGAGGGGAGTGATTGACTTTGCAGTCTAGGTCCCTGGGACCAACAAGGGAGAAGAGCGGAGAGCAGAACCCTACCCAAAGAAGCAGTGACGCCAGAGATGGAGGCAGAGATGCTGACGTGGAGAGATGGGGTGGCTCAGAACTTTAGAACTTTGGTTGGTTGATGATGCATGGAGGGGATTGTAACCATGGCAATGAAATGATATACGATAGGATGAATGTAAAGCTAATGTTCTCCCATGTAAACTATCACATAATTCACAATAAAACATTTAAAAACAAAAAAAGTGCTGTGGAGTAACCAAGCCATCTGCTCTCAGCAGGCTGGTGGCAGGAGACCCAAAGCGTTGTTGCTCCTCTCTGGCTTTAGGTACATAATGGGCTTCATCAGTAAGGAGCGAGAGCGGGCCATCTTGAGCACCAAACCCCCAGGCACCTTCTTGCTACGATTCAGTGAAAGCAGTAAAGAAGGGGGAATCACGTTTACTTGGGTGGAGAAGGATATCAGCGGTAAGTTGGGCACTCACCCACCCTACCTGGTAGCCAGAGAGACTGCTGCCAGGATGACTGCTAGTTCTGAGCACCCACCACCCCCTAGTGGGCACAGATGGACTTGGACTCTCCTGCCTCAGATTTGTAAAACATTTGGTGGTGGTGGTTTTGTGCCATCCAGTCAGTTCTGACTCACAGGTACCCTGCATAAGGTTTGAACCACCGACCTTGTGGTTAACAGTCTAGTGCTGATCCTACAGCGCCACAGCATCACAGCAGGGCTCCATTTGGTAACCTTTGTCTTTTCTCTAAACTTCTTCCAGCTGAATGATTTGCTGGCCAGTTTTGTCTTGCTTGGTCCGGTGGCTAAGAGTTACGTAGACATTTTCCATATAAAGTGTTTTCTTTGTTCCTTTCCTTCCCTACCCTATTTCTGTATCTCCTGCAAGTAGTTAGTGTACTGCTTGTGTACCAGTTGGGTAGCCTCGCCAAAAGCCAGCCAGCCTGCACATATCCACAGTGCAAGGCCACTGGGCAGGCCACTCAAGGGCTCAGGTTCTGGGGTGGCACAAGTCATTCTTTCCCGAGAGAGAGAAGAAATCAGGCCATGTTCTCTCTGAGCTGACCAAACCATAGGCTCCATTATCTTCCCTTCCCTCTCTCACGACAGGGAAGACACAGATCCAGTCTGTGGAACCATACACCAAGCAGCAGCTGAACAACATGTCATTTGCTGAAATCATCATGGGCTATAAGATCATGGATGCCACCAACATCCTAGTGTCTCCGCTGGTCTATCTCTACCCTGACATTCCTAAGGAGGAGGCATTTGGAAAGTACTGCCGGCCCGAGAGCCAGGAGCACCCTGAAGCTGACCCAGGTAGTTGTTGATTTTCCACATTTTAGGCATTTAATTCCGGGGGAAAGTAGGACATTGCTGGGAATGTCTACATAGCTTGGGGGATCTTTGTCCTTCCTTATGGGAAAGAACTTGGTAGTATTTGGGGCTGGCTCAGAATCACCAGTCCCTGACCCCTAGGGTGCACACCCGAGCAAAGGGGAAATAGCACACACACCCACTCGAGACATACCTGAGACACTGCTGGGAGAGTGCGGGCAGAGTTCTTTCGTAACAGGATGCTTCTTACCTAGTAGATGTTGGAAGGTTTGAGACATAAACCTCAGTCTAGCATGTTTCCTTCCCCGGCACTAAACCATGTAAGCAGTGTCAAGTGGGATGAAGAAAGGCTTTCTGGGGGAAATGATTGACAGCAGAGCTGAGGAGAGTCGTGTTTGAAGGGAGACGAAACCTGGGGGGAGGGGCAGGCAATTGGTATTTAGAATGAGCAGCTCTTGAGCCGAGGATTGTTTTAACGTGCAAGAGCGTATGTGTTTATATGAACTGTAAAGACTTTTCCTTCAAATTAAACCTGTCATCTCTGGGGGCTGCCATCGCTGGCTCCTCCCTCATTCAGTGTTTGCTGCTTTGACTCACTGGGTTCTCTGTCCAGATCCTAATAAGGAGTCAATGATTTGCCATTTTTTACTTTTACGAATTATAGAACCAGCAGTGACCTCAAAAATGATTCTTTGGGGTTTGCGCTCTGCACCAGTTTTGTACAGATAAAATGCACACACACACACACAATCCCACCAGCTTCCTTTCCACTTTTTCATAGGAACTCTCTTTGAGGAATTTCTTAGGGTAAGGGTATGGGGCTTGGAAGAAGGAATTAGAGCTAATTGACCATTGGCTTGCCTTTTTCCCTTGTTCTGGTTTTGAGTTTTGTTCATAATGCAGAAGGTTTAACGCTTACTTCCTGTCTGCTACTTATCGCTCTTTCCATGTGGCGCTTCAGTTGGGAGATGTGTTTATCAGCCCCTGTCACACTACTCTTTGTTCCTTCTGCAGAGGACATTTAGATCCAAGTTCTGGTCCTTTGACAAATGTGGCTTTTAGGATCCCAGCTCCCAATCTGACGCTTCCTTCTCCATTACTACCCTCCCTGCTGTGTCTGGGGTCATGGTCCTTTCCTGACCCGAGGCTGCAGTTTCCTCAGGGGCAGATGCTATTTGTGAGGGGGAACTCCTGGCTTGAGTGATTGGTTGCGTGTAAGGAGTGCGCTGAGGGTTTATTGTGGGTGTGGTGATGGGGTGAGGAGAGGTCTGTAGGGGTGGGATAGATGGGTGTTGAGTCCTGCTTCCTCTCTACCTTTATGGTGAGAGTATTGTCACACAAGAATCTCATTCAGAGATGAATCATCTCTCTAGGATTTACAGCTGCTTCTTCCTGACCACTCCACAGAAGCACACACTTACAAATTAGGTAAATGACCTTTATGAATTCATGCACACACTAACATTGAGTCTTAGTTTTCCTGTACTTCCTACTGTTCTGTCTCAGGCTGGGGCTATTTTCCCCAGCGTCCTCGATCACTGCGCAGTGACATCACTTTCTAAGGTATTAGCTCCCCTCAAGTCTGGGCCAAGGTGGTTGGAGTTATAAGACGCCAGAACCCTGCCTCTGTAGCTCCTTTGGGTTCTGTGCTGGTACATTGATTTTTGAGCCAGAAATCACCTCAGCTGGCAGTCCAAAGATTCTTTACATTTCATTTTCTCAGCTCGTCATTATACTTTGTGGGGAGCACAGTGGTTCCACATGATAAGTACTGTAGTGGTTTGAACTCACCATCGCTCCATGGGAGAAAGATGAGGCTTTCTGCTCCTGCGAAGATCTAAAGTCTCGAAAACCCTGTACAGGGTCGCTATGAATCAGAACTGACTTGACGGCACTTAACAACAACATGATATCCTGGTCCTTCTGTTTCTGTATCAATCCCACCCTGCTCCGCACCGTACCCCAACAGTGAGTGGTTCACCTGTACGCCCCAGATGTTGCCAGGGCCGGTGCTTCCAAGTCTCCTGACTGCTGGGTGTGAGCACTGACGTGGGCAGTTCATTTCTTCCAGTCCTCACATTTCCAACTATAGAACAAGAATTCTAAAAGACAGGGACCATAGACAGTTGCTAAGACCCTCTTTCCTTTCCCTTTGATTTTAAACTTGAGAGAACAGGTGCCTTGCCGCAGTCAGGTCTCTTGGCTGTTGAAGACATAGCTCACCCAGGTCTCTTGTTGTTCTGTCCAGAGTTGATTGTACTGTACCATAAAGAAATATTCCTTGAATGTTGTTGTTACGTGCCGTCAAGTCAGTTCCTACTCATAGTGACCCTGTATAGGGTTTCCAAGGAGCGGCAGGTGGGCCAACCTTGCATTTCAAACTGACTTTGCAGTCCAGTGCATTAACCCAAGGCTGCTTTTTGTTTGATGTGTTTATCCAATGTATTACTCACAGCCTCTAAAACGATAATAGAGCTACATGGGTACTGATGGGAGTGGAAGGTGTAGCATGTGGTACTGGAACCACAGACGTGTTCTCGAAAGACACGGTGATGCTGGCATCTGAGCTGGACCGCATGCAAAGACTATACACAGCCTTGGTTCCTGCTTGCAATAATGCAGAAAAGTTATCACAAAGACACAACCAGACCAGAACAGAATCCTCAGACTGCACTTCAACAAGTACATACTCTAGGGCATTAGTCTATGCTCAGGTGGGACCAGGGCTTTGCTGACAGCTCTCTGTGGTCCGGAAAACTTCATGGACGGGATTGAATTTCAAAGGTTCAAGTCCCCAGGACATCACGTAGTATATACAAGGAGGGGAGAGTAGTGCTGGAGAGGGAGGAGGTGGTGATTGTTTCCAAAAATCTCTGCTTCAGAAGGTAGTGTGATTGTGAGGTTGATGCAGCACTGGGCAGTGTTTTGTTCTGTTCATAGGGTCACTATGAGTGGGAACCGACTCAGTGGCACCAACAACAGGACATAGTGGGGTTTCAAGGTAGCCCTAGTCCTCTGAATCATAATCAGTGAGCTCAAGTTTTTCTGTTTCCTAGGTGCTGCCCCATACCTGAAGACCAAGTTTATCTGTGTGACACCGTAAGTGGCTTCCCTCCCCAAATTTGCCTCCATTTCTAATGTCCTCAGTTACCCCTAGGGATAGAACACTGGGTGAGAGCTATACTGTAAAGGGTTGGTAGGCCCTAGCTATGTTTAGTACTCAAAGTGACTTTGTGTGTTTAAAAAGCTTGAGCTTTTATTTTTCTGTTGGAGACCAGAGTTTGATGGCTTGTGTGTGTGTGTTTTGTTCTTTTTTTTTCCCCTCTATTGTGTCTTGTCAACCCGGCCCTTTCCCCACCCCCCCGGCTGCTCCCCATTTCCTACAGAACGACCTGCAGCAATACCATTGACCTGCCGATGTCCCCCCGCACTTTAGATTCATTGATGCAGTTTGGAAATAATGGTGAAGGTGCTGAACCCTCAGCAGGAGGGCAGTTTGGTGAGTGTTTGGTTGATAGACTTTGTCCTGTGAGGAAAGTCTGTCCCTCTGTGTGATGTGTGATTGTAGAATCAAGAACTGGTCACACAGATTGGTAGGCAGAGTCTCTAGAAGGTTCTAGAAGGAAACTGTCCAGTAGAAATGAAATATGTGCCACGTATGTCATCATGAAAATTTTTATAGCCACATTTCTTCTAAAATCAGTGTGGGGGGATGGCACGTGGAGTTAATTTTAACATGTTTTGTTTAAATTAAGATCTTTTTGCTTTTTTTTTAATACTGAGACCTGAAATCCAGTGGGTGTTTTACATTTGCACACATTTGGATTTTAACTAGCCACAGTTCAAGTGCTCAGTGGCTACGTGTCCGATGGATTGAAAGTGTTGTATTGAATTAGGGCAACCTTAGCTCTTGTGCAAAAAATGGAGGCAGGACATTTAGGGACAATGGTGCTGGCTACACAGCACGGTGACTGTAATTCAGGTCATTGAAAATGAGGGCTTCAGAAGAGCTCTTCACAAAGAGGGGGCTTCAAGAAGTTAGTGGGGAAATTCTGTTTGATCTTGTAATTCCATTTTTTCCACGAACTTTTTGAAGCCCTTTCATTTATTTCACAATTTAAAAAAACAGCCTAGCAAATAAAAAATGGAGCAGATTGGGTTGTGGGGAGAGGGAGAGAAGAGTAAATCTAGACTATCTGACCTTTCTTCGCTTTAGGAGGTGGGAGCAAAGGAGTGGCCCCGAGCCTCTTTTCTCCCAAGAGGCTGGGGATGTTCCCTGCCAGCGGCGTGAGGCAGGTACCTGAACTGGCTTTCCTGTGTGTTTCTCCAGAGTCCCTCACATTTGACATGGACTTGACTTCGGAGTGCGCTACCTCTCCCATGTGAGGGGCCCAGAACAGAAGCTGCAGAGAGAGATGACCGAGGCACCCACCTGTGTTCTGCTGCCCCTTAAACAGCCATGCCCCAAATCATCAGAAACTCCTACCTTGTCGTTCCAGTTTTGTGTGTGTTTTTTTTAATTTCCTACTTTACTATCATGAGCAATCTGGGCACTTTTAAAACTAGAGAGAATGTAGGTGATGTGTGTTTTTTTTTTTTAATCTAAATGCAAGTGAGAACACGTTCTCTGAGACTGTGATTGGGAATAGGGAAGGGGGCGTGGCAAGAAGGAGAAAACGAAATGTCTTGTGTATTGTTGTTGTCCCCCCCTTCTCGTTTTTCAGCAGCTTTAAAGATTTGTGTTTTAATTTTGTTGTTAGACAAGTGCCTCCTGGTGCCTGTGACCCCTCTGCCTATCTCCATAAGCTAACGGCACGGGCTGCCTCTAGCTATGTACTCCTGGTGTTGCACTTTGAACTTGCTAACATCCAAATGGAAGAGAGGACTACCAAAACCCCTAGGTTTCTTTTTAAATTATAAAAAAAAAAAAAAAAAAAAAAGGGTAAAAGAAAATACCCTTCTAGGCATAGCCTGTTCTGAGTTTAAGACTATTCAGCTCATAGCCCTCCTTGTGTGCTGTGGGCACTGAGGGTTCTTCAGGCTGATACTTTATAGAAATCTGGAAATGGGCTTCAGATCTAACCTTTAAAAGACATCTGAAGCTGTGGCCTAGCCTTTTGTTTTTGAAACAGTAATATTTACAGAGAACCTAAACATTTTAGATTTTTTTTAATATAAACAAATTTTAATTTTCTCCTTTAATGTGTTGGCCTATTTAATGGGTAAGGCTGGGCAGAGGAGCCCTTAAAACCATTACTCCCTTTCTCTCCAGATTTCCTTCCTGTTCCAGAGCCAGCCTAGGTGGTTTCCGTGGGAACCTTATTAAGGGGCTGGGATGATTCTGCCTGCCTTCCCTCAGTCCTTCAGACCATCCTCATGGCATGTCTCCTTCTAGTGCCTACAGGTCTCTCATCCTGTGTGCTTAGGAATCCTGATCCCAGGACCTTGTGAACTACGGAGTTACAGGTTGAATGTGACTCAGACTCTAAGGCCCCAGTGAAGCATGGAATGTGGTTGTTGCCCTAGTTCCTGGTTGATTCCCAGCAGCACCTGTAAACACGTGTTTAACCCAGGGGCAAAGGCTGACTGAGAAGCTTGAGGTCTGTTCCTTTGTGAGGGGCTGACAGCTGGCCTCCCTGGGGCCCTGTAAGAGGCAGAACTGTCAGCCTAGGCCTTTATGGCCTTCGCTTCTGCCTGCAGCAGTCTGCCAGTCAGCTAGTGTCTACTGGGCTTTCTGAGTAGTCTGTGGATTTCTGGGGCCCCTCTGGCCCAGAGGCATGGCTGAATGACTATGACCCAAAGCCATCTTGTCTCAGTTGGTCAGAGATGCTATGGAATTGCATTTGATTTACTCACATTAGCCAGTTTCTGAATTAAGTGGGTGAGGACCATTTTTCCAAGAAGAACATGGGGTTGTTCCTGGTCATCCCCTCCCTCCTGTCTAGAAACAGCACATAGTACTGAGTGCTCCGTTCTCCAACAACACTCTTACAATAAGTTTAACCTGTAAACAGAGAGAATCTTTAGAAAGGTGAGGCTTGGGCTTACCACTGGGTTTGGATTACGGGACTTTGGGCAAGGATGTGGAATTCTCTAGAGCAGATAGTGTAAAGTTCATGATTTTAGGTAGCATGTGTATCTGTTTTTAACTCTGATCGTAGCAAAGTTCTGAGAGGAGCCAAGACTTGTTCTGGTCGCTTCCTGTAAGACCGGAGTCCTCCAGGACCTGCCTGCTTCCTCCCCAACCCAACCGAGGGATTCCTGTGGCTCGCTTAACCTACCTGTACAGTGGTTTATGAGCTGCTCTCCTGGCCACTGCATTCAAATTCCAATGTATACTTCATAATGTAAAAATTTATAGTATTTTTTTTTGTATATTACTGTATCTACTTTAACTTCCAGAAATAAAAGTTATCTAGGAACTGTCTGAGAGTGTGGCAGTTCTGTTTGTGGCTGGTGGTGGTTGCCTATAGGAACCTGGGCTGGGAAGGGTCTTGAGAGGACCCCGTGGCTGAAGTGGTGTGACTGTCGCCCAAGTTGAAGCAGGCTTGTCTTACGTGAACCACCAGCCCCTCAACAGGGAGCCTAAGGAAGCAAGGGGTCATACCATGGACAGAAAGATACCAAAGCTAAGGCCACCTTGTGTCCTCCTCCCACCCCCGCCAATGGCCTTTGTAAACTGCTCTGCCCTGTTGTTTGGAGTCAGATAAGCTATTCCCACCACCCCCTTTCACAGTTGGCTCCATTATCACTTTCTCTTCAGTTTACTAAGTGGGGGCAGTTTGTAAACTGGTGCTGCAGGGCCTTGGACAGCCGGTGGCTGCACACTGACCTCCCCTCAGAGCTCGCTCTGAGCTCCCCACCCCCTTCACTGGTGAGAACCATGGAGACGTCTTCCCCTGAAGAGATGGAGCCAGAGATTAGCGCAGCTCACTGCTGCCTGGCGCCTACTGCCTGCTTCCCTCCCCACCCGCCCCCGCCAACCCGCCTGGGGCCCCATGCCTTGGGGCAGGTTGCCGGAGCTCCCACCTCTCTGCCCCCTTGCTGTCAGCTCCAAAGAAGCCTCAACAGGTCCTTGCTGCAACCCCTCCCAAGGGAGCTCGTGTTGCTGGGCCCAAGGTCCCAACCCAGCCTCCTGACTGGCTGCAGCTTGGTGCCCTGTGGGCCTGAGCCTGGAGAGGGGACACTGTCCACCGCAGCCTCCCTATTAGCAGCAAACTTGGTGGTCAGGGGATACTGCCACCTACTGGTCTTTGGGAAGAGATGAAGAAATGAAGGGGGGATAGACTTGCAACAGACCCCTGACCTGGAGAGAAATGCCATCTTCTTGGTATCAGTCTTCTGCTGCCCACGTCAGAATCCCTCACAGCTGCAGATGATGTGGAGTAGCGCTTCCCTTCCTGCACACTCCCCCACTATAATTGTGGCCTCACTTTTCCAAGAATTCCAGTCTCCTGTTTTCTTAGGAATATTTGCCCCCTGACTTAGTTTGTTAGTCTTTCAAGAGGCACTGGCAGTATTCCAGGGGTGGCTGGCACCCTTAAACCACAGGAAATAGGGCAGTTGTTACTTCAGGCTCAAGTTCTACCACAGTCATACAGGAGGGAAAGAGTTAAATGACTGCAGCGCTAGTGGTCCCCACCAGCCAAGGTGACCACCACCAACTCCCCAACCCAGGAACCATACCAGCAAGTTTATGAAAAAAAAATTTATTCAAAAACACTTGTTTTCATTTACACAGATGTGTGGTCTATGTACAAAGCTCAAAAGAATTGCTCCTCTATAGCAGTGCCCACCTTCCTGGGAATGCCATTCTTCCACACTCAGCTACCCCTGCTATCATAGTGCCTCCAAGGGAGCAGCGTGTGTGGTTGGCTGGGAGCAAGCAAGGCTTTTACTCCAGGATGTTAAGGTCTATTCCAGATTCCACTTCACCTCAGAGTCAGCTCACCTTTTACCTGCTCTCCAGATTCCACGGGCACACACCAAGTGGCTAGCTGGCCGCTTGGTTCTTGCTGCAGCAGTTTTTTCCACACACCAAAAAAATCCTATTGCCACTGAGTTGATCCTGACTCAACAGCCATGGGGTTTCCAAGGCCGTAAACCTTTCCAGAAAATCTGCCACATCTTTCTCCCGCAGAGCAGATGGTGGGTTCCGATTGCCTTTTGGTTTGCAGGTGAGCACTTAATCAATGTGCCACCAGGGCTCCATAGTTTTTCTATCAGGGAGGGGTCAACTCTGTAGTTCCTGGCCCTATTCACCCACCACGTCCTAGACCAGTCTTCCCCTGCTCCACCTCTCCTGTAAGCAAGCTTGCAGATAGGGAGGCAAGGATGTCAGGCAGGGGCTGGATGGAGGGGCAGGGGCAGAGAGTGGACAGAGACACCAGGAATGTGGGCAACAGCATCACAGACTCAAACTCCCAGCTCAAGGCCAAGAGCCAAGAAATCCGATACATGCAGCTCCGACACCCATGACTCAAACCAACTCTACTATCTAAAGGGAGTCCCTGGGTGATGCAAACAGTTACCACCATCAGCTGTTAACCAAAAGGTTACAGGTTCAAGTTCACCCTGAGGTGCCTCAGAGTAAAGACTTGGCAATCTTAAAAACTCAGCCATTGAAAACCCTATAGACCACAGTTCTACTGACACAAGTGGGGTCACTGGGAGTCAGAACGGACTTGCATCTGGTTTATACTGTGTTAAAGGCATGGCTATGGCTTAGACAATCAGGGGAGGAGGACATTGTGTTTGGCATAGAGAGTCAGTGAGGCTGTGGGAGACCCTCATTGGAACTGGTTGGCACAACAGCCCCAGTGATGAACCTGAATACTTTGTGAGGCCGACACAGGACCCAAGCACTGTTCTGTTGTACATACAATCATCATGAGACCGAGTTGGCACAAAGGCAGCTAACATGGCTTAGACAAGCTCTTGGAGAACTTAACAAAAAAAAAAGTCTTGAATATACACTCATTCAGTAAGGTGTAAAATGTTACCCCAAAATGAACCTCATCCTCTCTGCTGAGAGAAAAGACCAAAGACCAACACATGTGCATGAGAACAGAGGAATATCCACACATACATCAGGAGGATACATGCATGTATGTGCATGGATACACGTGTATATATACACACACACATTGGGACAGCAAAGTCGGTTTTTTGTGAGTAACACTTTAAAATCTTCCCCTTCTTGGAGGATTTCATCCCAATAGCTGCTGGACAGATAACAGACATGGGAGGAATCTGTTTGCCTGCGCTGAGGACCGCAACACAGAGTCTTCATCTCTCCCACAACAGAGACAGACCCAGTGGGCTCTTGGATGCCTTGATCCAAAGCAAAGATCACGGCCAGCAAGGCTACAAATGCATGGTTGCAAAGAGGATGCATGCATATGTTGTATGCACACACACACACACACACATACATGCTGCCTGCAAAGAAATACTAAAGTCACAATAGTTAGCCTTCACGGTGAACATTGTTTCCCAAGACAAGCATGGGTGTAGTATTCATGAGAGCGAGCCCCTGGCAGTGGTGAAGAAGCCATCTTGGGAGGTAAGGGGA